AATTAAATGGATTATATATCCCTTGAAATCTCTTTCAGCGCTGCTGATGTTCCTGCATTCAGCAAGTTGGATTTTTAAAATCAGAGGAATTACTTCAGTTTCATAAGTATTAAATTTCTGGCGTGACCTGTAGAGTATGAGGAATCCTTCTGGTCCCAGCTAGCAGCTACATTATTCCCATGACAGAGAGATCAGCTCTAACATAAGAAAGAAAATGTCGTTGAGTGAATCCCAGGATGGCAGCAGATGTCAAGTTAGTATTGTCAAAACATCTGCAAAGTACTCTGGAGGATTCAGGGATTTTGTTGTTTATTTTTTCCCCATTCTTCAAATATTTGACTCTAAACACTAATAAGATGTAGTTGCATTAGAGAAATAAGATTTGAGATGCTGCACTCCAGCAATTGTAACATGTCCAACTGTTCTTTTCCTTACTATGGGAAATGTGGGTATTTCTTCCATGATAGTATAAATTTCTAAAAAATTTTTCTCTATTTAATTCCTACTGCAAGTTTTCACTGCATTGTTACATATGATCACTTTATTACTTTGTGCCAAAAAATAAAATACAGCTTTCTGTGACTGAACTAGGAGATCAGTTTTCTCCAATGGTTGCCAGCCTCAACAATTGCTAATTAATGCAGCTGAATTATGCAACTGTGTATTTTACTCAAAATAAGCTAAACTATGCAAATTATCAGGGTTTCTTGTTTCTGAGTCAGAAAACATTCTGAAAGGAAATCTTTTGCAGAGAAGGAGAGAATGACAGGTAAAGTAAATGAAGTGTGTCTGCTTATGAACAAGTATTTTATGCATAATTACTTCATACCTTTCAAATTAATTACATCATATTTGCCTGAAAATTACAGAAAAATGAAATAATGGACTTAGGGCATATTGGAACTTACACAATTACGTTTGGTGCTGCATTTTTGTGAGCTCTTGCAACATAAGAGAGCAGGAAGGAGATGCCAGAGGTGGTATTCTTTGTTACTGTTTTGAGCAACCGTGTCATAACAGAAATCAAATACATATTCTTTCTATTTACCATTATAGCATCCCGGTATCATGCAAAAGTTTGGAGACAAGAATGGTCAAGAAGATGACAATTCTAGAATATGGATGCAGATCCCCAAGAAAAGGCCTACAAGGTCCACTGGGCTTCTTACAAAGTAAAATAGAGAAAAAAGAAAGAGCTTCCAGGAAAGGTTCTGAAAGAGCAGGCAGAGGTAGCAGTGAGGATGGGAAAGGAGGACGCAAGTCAAGTGAGGAGAGAGTATGTAGGGTCGTTAGGGACAAAATTTTTTTCTATCCAAACCTAGGCTTTCTTGTCAGTACTGCCATATGTCTAATCAATAGTACTCTAAAACTACCTGTGGAATAAAACTGTGGCTATTAGTATAACCTTCATAAAAAGTGGAGGTATAAACCATGTTGCTTCAGAACAGCATGGTAGCTGCATGAGATGCTTAAACATAAGCCTGTTGTTTCCTGGTAATTTATTTGGAGAAGCTAGGAATATTTACTGCCATACGTACTGAACAATGCACGAACATTTCAGGAAGCATGAATCTGTGTTAGTATGAATCAAATTACAGATCATGAGGTTCTACTTTTTCTTTTCAGCAGCTGACTGAATAAGGGAGAGCATTTCGTATTTTACTTTTTGATGCTGTATTTCCTCTATGGCATAACCTTGAGTTAGCTTGAAACTGGTAAAATTGCCCAGTTCGGAGCAATTCTGACTTCAAAGGAAGAGCAATTAAAATACTTATAAGAAAGATAGAGGTCAGATCTGCGGAAATGGTCTGAATAGAGAATAGTAAACAAATCTCCTTCATTTCCACTAGCTCCTTGAGGAGTGTGTTTCTTCCTTCATGCTTCTGCTTTCCAGTTGATTCCTCCAAGTAGCTTGCTTCTATTCAAACTCCACAGGCTTCTTTTCTCCATCAGCCAGACTTGGCAAGGATTTACTCTCTGCCTCACAAGAGACCCTTGCTCCACTCATTCTGTGCTGCCTGACTAGCAGTGCTGCAGGCTTCTCCAGTGCTTCAGTGCTCACTCACCTGCTCTACTAGGGAGCAGTTACCCTTTCCCAGAAGATTCCTTCTGACCCAGAGCACCAGAGTCAGGACTACAGCTTTGTTGTCTTCTTTTCTCTAGTCAGTCTTTACTCTGTCAGCAATAAGTACCTGACAGAAAATGGAAAGAAACCAATTCTGGCATCTACCACAGCTTTCAATTTCATAGGAGAAATCTGTTGGCTTTTTGAGCAGATATAAAGAAATATATAGCTGTTGATAAAGGTATAAATAATAAAGTTTGAAAATAAGAATGTAAAAAATCTCCACGTAAGTGCTAGCCTTGTCTAAGTGAAAGTGGAAAAGTTTTTTCGTCAGTTTCCTCTACAATCTATTTCCATTAGGAAACTCTTCTTTCCCCCCATGCCTTCAATAAATTTCATTCTGGGCTGAGGCAGGGTATTTCTGATCTCAGCTCTCCATCAGTGGTTGTTTTTACTGGTTTTCCAGAAAATTGATTGAGCTGATGATTTCATGTTGCACAAAGGTTAAAAAGCTGTGGAGGGGAGGAAATGAGGGTAGCTGCAGGAGTGTACTTCATGCAGTTGGTTTGTATTTCAGTTGTTGCTTTTTCTCTATACCAGTAGGATAAAGTAGTTTTTTTCTAGCATCATCTTATGCCGGGGTTAATTATAATTCTTTTTAGTGCATGAGATTCTGCGCATTGCCCCATCTGTAGCAAAATATTTCAACAGTGAATCTATCAGAGACAATGGCAGTTGTCAAAATGGAGTACAGTGTAAGATTACATACTGCATTATTTTTGAACAGTTTTTGTCTTGGGATATAGAAGTCACAACTTTGACATTATGGCATACTGAGGTACTTGTTTTGTTTTGAGGTTTTGTTGTTTTCTTTCATTTTCTATTTTGTTTTCCAAATGATGGGTGTGGGAATCAAAATATTTGGAAGCACTAGGGCATTTTGAAAATATTTTTTTCTGAAAGATCACTAATATGAAATAAACGACCATCCTTATGACAGCTCAGTTTTCATCTGACTAGAATGGTAACACTGACAGATGAATTCTGAGTCTCTAATTATTTCTTCAAAGACAGCAAGAACTTTACTGTTGTGAGGACATTTGGCTAGTAAAGCCACAGTCATCGACTTTGCCTGCTGTTCTGCATTGGTAGGAGGTTGCTTCCATGTACTTTCTTGAGCATGTTTCCCTGTTAATATTGCTAACATGCTGATTTAAAAGCTGATATAGCTTTTTGTATTGGGACTTTTTATTTGCTTGTTTGTTTGTTTGATGTTGCACCTATTTTTCATTATTATATGCATTTACTATTACATATTAAATAATTATTTGCTTTTTCTATGGAGGGACAGAATATGTTCAGATATGTTTAGAATGTGTCCACTGCACACAATCTCAGCCTCTTTGATGTGCCTTAGAAAAACGCATGGCATGCTTATATGTCAGGTCTACTTAAGCTGTTGTCTTTCAGTCATCAGACCCCCAAGAAAGTCAAGCTTTAGCTGACCTACCCTGAAATAACCAATAAATTTGTCTTGAAGTCATTGTAAAGAAACCTGAAGAGTAGCCTTAGAAGACAACCAATTTAAGAGACATTTTTGCTAAATCTTCTCTGTGGCTGCTTATTTTGCTGTAATTCTTCCTGTGTTGACAGTACTTAGGGAGTCTTGTGATGGGTCAGAAACATCCAGATTTAGTAGCAAACAAACCACATTAAAGCTTCGTTTTTCTCACTGGACAGATATAAATGGTAGGTGAAACAAATTCAAAGCCTTTGGGGACTTTTGAAAGAGTAGAGTGAGAACAGAATTAGGAACTGAGCATCTTGGTGGTTCTCACAAATCAAAGCAAATCTCTCCTGGTAATTACGATAGTCCACTTTTACTTGAACTTTCAGAGGCTTACGATAAAAATAGACTCACTGAAGACTGAAACCTGTCAATCCAAAGATTTGAACCTAACAGTGCTTTCCAAGTTACAGAGGCTTTGTTCACATAGGAGAATTACAGTGCTTACTTACCTCTGATAGTAGTGTTCCTGCACTGAAGAAGCAAACAAACAAAAAAATTAATATATGTGGATTTCTGAAATAGCATTATTCCATTATTCTAAAGAAATTAAATAGTTGGATGTTTTGATTGCTCATAAATAGAAAATGTGGGTTAATCTGAATGCTTTAAAATATGTAAGATTTTAAAGTGTTAGCTCAAGTGTCATTTTGAATTGAAGTGATCTACCTCTTACTCTTCCTTTTTTGGCTTCATGCAAACAGAATTTTGTTATGAATGATTTTCTGATAGGTCAGATTTTTAGCTGCCATAAAAAAAGAAAAGTAAGACCACAATATTCAACTACCTCAAACCATAAAATGTGTTCCAAATGCATGTAGAACTTTGAATATATTCATAACCAGAAGTGCTCTAACAGTCTTCAGGAAAACTCATTAATTCAACCTCAGTGGTAATAAGACAAGAGAAAAATCTGTAGGCAACTACAGCACTGTAGCACTAGATCTGTTAGTTAAAAATGCAGTTTGTTACTACATGAAACAGAATTCTCAAGATTCACCCAAGCATGTAAATTCTTGGGAAAAAAAAATGTTTCTGGAGAGAAGTTATTTAAGGACTGCACAAAGCTATTAGATAGCAGAAATCAGTCACAACATTGGTTTTTCAGAGCTTGACCAAATGTAAATGTTAAGTCCCTTAGGTTTTTAGGTTTACATACATTAGAAGTAAATAAGTTCAGTATTCAGAAACTTGCTAAATCCTCATGCTTCTTTCCACAGAGAAAACAATTATGTGTTAAGACAACTGTTTGTACCCCTGTATTCTTGGGTGTAACTTCCCTAGGATAATATATAGAGTCTCCTATGTAACAAGCCAAGCATTGTTAATGGGCTGGGCTTTTTTACCTTTTTTTTTTTTTTCTTCCAGCTCTACGGGACAACAGAATTGAGCTGGTTCGAGCTTCGTGGCATGAACTGAGTATCAGTGTCAGCGATGTGTCTCTGTCAGATGAAGGGCAGTACACCTGCTCTTTATTTACTATGCCTGTCAAAACCTCCAAGGCTTTTCTTACCGTTCTTGGTAAGTATAAATAACCGAGCGTGCTCACATTACAGAAACAAGTGTTGGCAAATAATGATATGAATGAATTCGTTTGAAGTTTTGCAGAAAAGTTACGTAAATATCTCGAGTCCCTGTAGTTAATTTTTTAATATGGCTATGCTGAAAAATAATGTGCCTCTTACTATTTGGGACAGGATAATGAATTAAGAAGTACACAAATGGCACAAAAGGAGTGCTTCATAACTTCTACATCCCAAGCACCAGAAATGTGAAGAAAGTATATATGTTCACCTCCCAGCAATGTACTTTAGAAAGCAAAAGGGAAGAAATCAGCCTGAAATCAAAACAGTCATTAGAGCTTTATAGTTTTTCCTTTGCATTGCCTTTGCTTGGCTCATTCTGGTTTCTGCTTTTTGTCTGTAAAGTGCATATTTTCACTCAGTTTGCTGGTTCTTTTATCTTTATCTTCTAAATGCTCTACTGTTTTCCCCATAGGTTATGGATACACATAGAAAAGCAATGGATTTCTAGAGGTGCCCAGGAAATAAAGTTTCTATTTGAAGCTTTACATAATTTGACAAATTTCAGTAGCTCAATCTGCTGAAATGGCTAGAGCTCATTGAAACCAAAATCCATACCTAAGAGATATGATTATAGAGACTGATTTTAATGCTTTTCTCCTTTTTATATCCCTCAACTATACTCTCTCTTCTTTTTTTTTTTTTTTTTTTAAATTTTTTATATGTAGACAGGCAAACAGTTGAATTTAATAGGACTGATGTAAGATGTTCTCTGCAACAGTAATATTCAGATTAATATAGACAGGAAATTGCTTTTGCATATATGACCTGAAATATGTACCCATTTCAGTCCACATGAGACCATTTTACAAAAATCTTTAGAAGTTTGCCATTGAGAATGAAAAATACCCTCTCAAAGCAGAATATGCAGGAGTAACATCTGCTTGAGGTTAATCTGATTTTCTGTAGAGAGGCATCGCATGATCTAAAGAACAGATGAGCAGACCAGTTCAAACTTGTAAATGACAGAAAGACATAGAAAGGTGTTACAAAGACAGAAAAAACATCTCACCACTTTTATTAACCAGAGTTAACTTGATTTTCCACAGTTCATTTAGTTTTATCTTCGATTTGAGGAGTGTGAGAGGGGGTTAATGAAATTTTCCTGCCATCAACTACTTTACTTTCAAGAAGGAAAGATAAAATGTCTAAGATGCCTGTTTTTGGTTTTTATCTATCTATCTATCTATCTATCTATCTATCTATCTATCTACCTGTCTATCTATCTATTTACTTATTTATCTATATTTTAGAATTGTTTCAAAGCAATATTTTAAGCTCTTGAAACTCTTTCCATTTGAGAATGGGACTTCTTTTCCGTAGAAAAACATTTCATCTTTTTAATCAGATAAACCATCTTTTTATGTACTAATAATCTCTTTCTTGACGGTTCAGATATGGATTAAAAGATTTAAGTGTCAAGGTACTATGGTAGACACCATTTTGTGTTCTCAAAGAGAGAAGTAGATTTATTACAGAAATGTATTTTGTGATATGTACTGCTGCTAGGTTTTTATGTACATAATCTGTCATTTTGGAAAAGTGATGTAAATGAGCCAAATTGTGAAATGCAGGTTATAAGATCAGGGGCTGTGACTAATCCATTTACCTTGCCATTAGTATGAATGCATCAAAGTTCTTCGGATGCGAGTTTTAACAGTGACGTTTTTAGACATCTTAAAATTACAATCTTCAGTATCATTTTAAAGTAAGTTATTCTTGTATTTGACAAAGTCAAATAGATTTATACATATGGCAATGACATTTCTGTAAACGCTACTCATAAATTTATTTATAATCTTTTATGGCTCATTGAAAAATAACTATTTCAAAATTTATTATAATATGTATGCTATTTCATGAATCCTAAGACGTCTTCCAAAGACCTTGGATTCAGCTAAAGAATTCTCAATAACCAATGGATTTGTGATTATACTTTTTTTTTTTTCCTCATTATTGGTTCTCTGAAAATAATATAACTTCTGTGTTTGTTTTCATCCTCCTATTTCCCTGGGTTTTGTATTAAAACTTCATACTTCGTGCTTAAACATCTGTTCTCAACTTAGATCAGTTAGCTGTTTTTTGCCAGTTATTGTTTTTCTTCAGAGTTCTACTTCCAATATGCTTCCAGTGTACTTCAACATTTTCTTTCCTGTGCAGACCAGTTTATAACCGGCTTGCAGAATATTTTTAGATAGAATACGTTCTAAGATACAAATTATCCATATTCCTTTGAAAACTGGATAAGTTCTCTGTTTTTTATTGATAGTTTATTTACAATAGAAATTTTAAATAAATGTTGATAAAAGACAATGAACTACTAATTCCATTTACAGAATTTAGAGTACATGAAGAAGTGAAATCTAAGGTGATCATATATTTATGGTAACAGTTGAACATATCAGATAAGTTTTGTTTGTTTGCTTGTTAGGTGTTCCTGAGAAGCCACAAATTACTGGATTTACTTCACCAGTTATGGAAGGCGAGAGAATGCAGCTAACTTGCAAGACATCTGGTAGCAAGCCAGCAGCTGATATCAGATGGTTCAAGAATGACAAAGAAGTTAAAGGTATTTAAAGGACTTTTGTGAAATTTGTTACACTTGTATAACTATGCTTATTTACAGTTATGTTTTTAATTCATGTTTGTAAAAAAGTCTTTAATATTCAACTATCAAATGAATTAGTGATAGTATCTGGTTAAGGAATTGATTCTAAGTGACTCTAGTGGCCATGTAACCACTATTTTATTTTTCTTTTCCAATAGTAAAAACTGATGTTTTGAACTGCTCTGAAATCTGTTTAGTGTATTTAACTCAAAGTAGATGTTTTATAGATAAAAATATTGTGAAATTAATATTGTCACAGCCATGATACTCACTCCAGATATTTTATCTTTTCCTTTCTTTTTGCTTTTGTGATATGACATATGACATATTGATCAATTATTAGATTCATGTTATGCTTCTTTAAGTAAAATGACTGGCTGAGAAAGAGCTGTCTAGAGCAGACAGGATATTGCATTTCCCATAGGGGAGATACAGAGCCTGCTCAGGCGAGGAAGGGTCAAGTTTTAGCCACTGAGAAAGTCCCAGTTACAAAACTGGGAATCTGCAGCTGTGACAAGAATGCTGAGTGTCTGCAAGACTGAAGAGAGGGAGGAATACTTAGAAGGGCATGAAGCAGATTTCACAGGTTTTAGGTGACTAAAACCAAAGCAAGTATTGTTCTTTGAGTATCCAATAAAATAGGAAATAGTTGCATATGAAAACTAAGTATTTCTTTTCTGTCTTCTCTTTCCCTTTTTGTGTTCGTTATTCAAAAGTTACTTTCCCTTCCATATTTTTGTAAAACACACGACAGCTTTAAAATCCTTTCTGGTGAATGAGTGGATAAAGCTTTCTATAAAAGAAGGCTACCTGATGTATTTTAATAAAAATTATAAGGTCTTGGCTTTTACTTAAGTCATGTCTATTTGTTCTACTACAAGACCAAATCAGTATATGATATGAAATCTAATATTTTTGCATAGCCATTTACATAAACAAAAACAAACACACAAAAAACCCCACATTTTAGCATAGTCTTGCTCCTGGTGAGGAATAAATGCATGCATCAGTACAGGTCAGCTGATGATCTGCTGGAGAAAAGCTCTGCAGAGAAGGACCTGGGTGTCCTGGTGGAGAACAGGATAGCAATGAGCCAGCAGTTTGGCCTTGTGGCCAAGAAGGCCAATGGTATCCTGGGGTGCATTAAAAAGAGTGTGGTCAGCAAGTCAAGGGAGGTGATCCTTCTCTTCTACTCTGCCCCGGTGAGGCCACATTTAGAATAATGTATCTTATTCTGGCCTCCACAGTTCAAAAAAGACAGGGATCTCCTATAAGAGGTCCAGCAGAGGGCTGTAAAGATGATAAAGTGCTGGAGAATCTCCCATGTGAGGAATGACTGAGTAACCTGGTTCTGGTAAGCCTTGGAAAATGAAGGCTGAGGGGGGAATCTGATAAATATTTATAAATATCTAAAGAGAGGTGAGAGACAAATGTATGAGGCCAGAATCTTCTCAGTGGTATGTAGCAATAAGACAAGGAGTAATGGCCTAAAACTTGAACAGGGGAAATTCCATACTAACATGCCAAAGAACTTCTGTTCTGCAAGGGTAACGGAACACTGGAACAGGTTTCCCAGAGAAGCTGTGGAGTCTTTTTCTATGGAGATTCTCAAGACCCTCTTGGACTCTACCTGTGTGATCTACTGTAGGGAATCTGCTTTAGCAGGGGGATTGGATTCAATGATTTCTTAAAGTCCCTTCCAACCCATGCAAATCTGTGATTTTATGATCAGCTTTGTCTTGTATTTGTCTGACATTGTGATTTTTGTTAGCTGAAATTATTGCCTCAAACAAAGTTGCAGCATTAATTAAAGAACTAGTTAATCTACCTTTATTATTGTTTACCACAACCAAAGCTGATTTAACAGGAGGTGGTAATTGGTTGTCTGAGGAACGCGGTCCCTTTGAGAAGTGTCTTTATGTTTCTGATGAAAATCAAAGTTGTTTTATTGGAGACAGGAAGCTTAGGCTGAAATTATTTGAAATATATTTGAGCACTCTTAACAAGGAAAGAAAATGGGGAAGCACAGAATACCTTTCTTCCCAGTTACTAGCAAATTTGAAGAAATTACTATATTTTTAAATCTGGTATAAGAACTTTGCCTTTCTTTCAGCTGTTATGTAATTGAAGCCAAACAAGCAGTTCAGTCATTTGTCTCTATAGCTAATTTGTTCTTCTCCACAGTTTCTAAATGGACTTTTTTTTAATCTTAAGAGAGGGCAGAGGAGGGACAAAGGTTATGTGAAGAAGAATGGTAAAAGTGAAAAAAACAGAAATGAGAGGAAAGCACATTCATTTCAGTTTAGCTTTTCAGATCTTCTGAAGATCACATTGCCATTTTGCAAAGGTTAGAAATAAAATAACCTAACCAGTTTGCAGTGGCATCAGCAGAACTTACATTAGCTTTGTGCACTGTAAAAGGTGAAATGATAAATCTGAGAAAATAGACACGAAATTATATGCTAATGCAGCTGACATTAAAGGTTAGGAGTTCGTCTGTCTAGCACCAGTAAATCCAATCGTGTTACAGTGTATTATACATGGTGCAAAAGAATATAAATGATGCATTGAGTTCAGAGTTGCAGCAAAGGGGAAAAAGCCATTCTAAAATTGTACCTCCATTGCTCAAAAAAGGAATCATGTGGTAAAAGAATACTGTTTGATGCAGTAAGTGCTAGTAATAAGACTGAGTGCGAAGCACTGAATAGTGTGTCTTTTATTTTAGTGTTCTGTCTCATGTGAACCAAATTAACAAAGCAATCTGCACTCTAGCATTCTGGTGACATTTTAGAAGGAGATTATTAAAAGCAGAAATAAACGAGAAGCCAACTATGCAATTTTTAATTTTTTTTTCCAACAAAACTTGTTACAGCTAATTTCAACAATAAAACATGAAATATGTCTTTCATGTTCCAGGAATATTTTTAAAGGATTTTTTTTTCCTAGGAAAATGAGACTTAATAATATATAAGATAATGTCAATTGATTTGTTGTAACAAATTAAGATATTTTGAATAAGTTCATACATTTTAATATACAGTAAATATTCTGACAGACATCCAGTATTTTGTCTTAATTAATTTCCAAGTGGAGGATGAATTTTTTTTTTAGGTAGAAATGCCATTTCATGATGACGTTAAATGTAAATAAGGACTATACTTGCCTTTTAAAAACAGCAAAATGATCTTTTTCTGTTTATTATTTTCACCATCAAACATCTGTACTTGTGAGTTATAAGCTAGAATTAATAGTTAATATGAGGGTGTCTGTTTGTATGCTTGTCTGATAGTCATAGGTGATCCCCATAGTTGGTGTGGCCCAAACTCTTTCTGAAGGTTATATAAGATTGCTTAATGTCTTATCTGATTTGGTTTTGAAGAATCTCAAAGGACAGTTTCCACAGTTAGTCTGGGATAGAAGTTTCAAGTAATTGAGATGCGTTACTGAGGAGAGTATTCATAATTTCATGAAACATGATCAGAATTTGTCTTGGCGTAACTTGTGTTCATTGCCCCTCAGTTGTTGTTGTACAGCTCCAAGAAGGCTCTGGATTTTTCTTAAGAAATTCAAGACAGTAGTTTGTCTTCTATTCATCGGGTTGAACAAACCCAACTGTCTCCAACTTCTCATTGTAATCCAGTTAGTTGACATCTATACTGGAAAGTCCAAATTTTGGCTGATTATTCTAGATGCAGCTGCAAACATACTAAATAAAAGAGAATAATAATTTCTTCTTGCTTGCTATACTATTGCTACTATAGGACAATCCTTTTTCAACTCTCAACTCTGTAAAGGCACAGTGTTGATTAATGTTCAACTGGTACTCAATACCTCCAGTTCCACTTCCGTAAAACTGCTTTCACTTCAGGTATCCTCCAAATCCTTTGATTATAGTGATTTCCAGACAAAGTTCTTTTGTAATGAACATTTTTAAGCCTTTTTTAGCTGACAAAAGTAGTAAGAAAAGTAAGCTAAAAAGCAGACTGCATAGGACATATTTATGAATTCTGTGAAAACCCTGGGTAAATATTTTGAAAGCTAGCATGGGGTTACATGCCCACTACCTGATCTCCACTGCTGTTTCTTTTCAGAAGGGCTCATGTTGTTAATAAAATAACTTTCTTTTGCTATGAAAAAACATCCAAGAAGATACAGTTGATCAAGTGGGCTAGCTAAGTATTTCTGATGATAAGGATGTCAACTGCAACAATATTAGCACCATCTTTTTAGTAGAGGGAATTAAAGGTTTTACCCTCTAAATAAAGGGTGTCTAGGGAAAGACTTCTAAACACCTGCCTAGTAAATCAACTGGTTTTTTTTTTTTTTTTTTTTTTTTTTTTCCTGAGAGATTAAGTGTCCACAGCTTCTCAATGAACTGAAAGTTGTTGAAGTTCTCAGGAGCTTTCTGTCCTCCTAAAGTCAATAAGAAATTGATTGTATACATTGCTTACAAACATAAAGCAATCTGTGTAGGTGCTTGTTATTGAATTTCATACTTACTTCTTTGAACAAAATCCCAATTATGTGCCTCAAAAACTAGTGAAGAAATTTGTCGTTTGATTATAATAACTTTGCTTTAGCCCTGACCAGTATTTCTCTTATCTTCTTATTCCTAAATTTTGATGGTCACCTTGTCAGAAATTTGAAATCTCTTAAAGTTTGGCAACCAAAAGGCAAAAAAATGTTTGTATGCAATAAATGATTTTGTCTTAGGAAAAAAGTAGAAAATGTATATGGTGTTTTCATTTATCCAGAGACAATGAAAAAGAACATCTTTCTGATATCAGAGGTATTTTTATCTATAAACAAGTAGCTTAAGCCATTTAATATTTGCTTTCTAATATGGATATTTAATGCAAATTTTATTTAGGTCATATTCTTTTCTAATGGGATTTAGCATAATTTATAAAGCTGAAACCTCTCGTGTTTTCATTTCTTTAGGACACAGAAGATGTATGCAATCTCAGTGTAATTTCATATATATATTTATGTATTTGTGTACATATCTTTTATATCCTTCCTTGTCATAAATATAGCAAGCTTATGATTTTACTGAAATAAACAAATCAATAACTACTATAAATAGATGGGATCCAAGTAAACCAGTTCTCATATCTATGTAAGAAAAGTTATTAATAATAATAATAACAATAACTTTTAAAAATAAATGCTTAGTCTTTTGGTTCTCCAGTTCTAATGTAAGTTGTTTGTCCTACAGTGAAATTTACTGAGTCTAAACCTTAACTTCGAGCTGAATTGAATTCTTAATCATGGTGGTAAGATCCCAACACAGTTGTATCTGGATTGAAAGCTAGCACAGATTTTTAATGGGCTCTGCTCTGAAAGAGTAAGCCAGTGAGTAACGATAAAAAGCACTGAGTGGAAAGTATCTTTGAAGTAATTTTATTTCCAGTGTTCTTGGGATGCATCTGTACATCCCACTAAATACTATGAGGTATTATAATAATATCATATCATATTATATCATGTAATGTAATGTAACGTAATGTAATGTAATGTAATATATCATATCATATCATAATACTATCTCTATTTTTTCATCAACTTTTATATATATATATTTTGGTTTAGTTTAATTAATAAATTAGTATGATTCTAGCCAAAAAACAAAATAAGCAATGAATAAAGTAAGCATGAGTTTGATGTATTGCAACTCTTTGTTCAGATTCAGTGATATGCATTACAAAGATGGATGTAGAACATTTAACATTTAGTGACACTGTGAATATATTAGGGAAGTGAGAGTGGGAGTAGACTACACTTTTCTAATGAACTGTGGTTTATATAAGATTTGGACCTAAACATGAGAGAATCGTGAAAGCAATTGCCCTCTGAGTGCAGTATCAAGTAACTGATTTTGAATTTTCTTCTGCAGTGTACACCTTCTACTCTGGCAAAAGCAGAAAAGAGTAGAATAGCTACAGTTTAATTACTCATGTTTTAAAGAGGTCAATAAGTACATGAAATGTTTTTTGTTTTTTGTGTTTTTTTTAAATAAGTTTGATAGGTAAATGTTGCTGTTTAATTTTGGACTATTTCTTTCTGAAAATATTGGGAACGAAAATGTTTATTTTTTCTTTCAGATGTTAAATATTTAAAAGAAGAAGATGCAACTCGTAAAACATTCACAGTCAGCAGCACACTGGATTTCCTTGCAGATCGCAATGATGATGGTGCAGTTGTAAGCTGCAGAGTAGATCACGAATCCCTAAATGCTACACCTCAAATAGCAATGCAGGTTCTAGAAATACACTGTAAGTAATATATATTATATTTGCTTGCTTTTACAGTTTTGTTTTGTTTCAGAGTTTCTACTGTAGGAAATCTTCAAAATTTTCTGAGAACGGTAGGTATTGATAACACTTTTCTTTTAGCCAACCTCTTTTTTTTTTTAATTTTATTTCAGAAATAACTCTGAAAAGATTAGTGTATTAAGTTCCTGGTTTTCTTTACAAATAGTAAAGAGGAAGTGCATTTGTCTTCTCCATTTATCATTGTAGTAATGTCAAAGTAAGCTGTAGTATCAAGATCGTAGAAGTTCATCACAGCGCCCTTTGTCCAACCTTTGGCTGTTTTTCCCCAATTTGACAATTTTCCATTGCTTGTTGTGCCATGATGAGCAACTTTCCAGCTTGATGCACTACAACTCAAAACAATATACATGAAATCCAAGAAAAAAGTCCTTGTACCTGGTAGATGCAAAGATATTGTGACTTCAATGCTTCTATGAAGCAGGATCACTGAGAAAAACAAGGCTGCTTGCACACCAAAGCTAAACTGGAAAGTTTTGGAACTAGCACTCACTGATTCCTTTTGCTAAACTAATATATTGGTCCTTAAAGTAATATACTGATACCTATTGCTAAGCCAGCCTTAAGCTCAAAATTTAGGCATATTCAAAGTTGAATAAGCCTGCCTATGTGTCTGTGTGCAGTAGTCTGAAGTCATGTCCTTTGAGTCACTTTCTTTGCTTTTACAAACTATGAGGAACTCAGGAGAACAGCTTTTCACCACCAGGTGACATTTACATATTCACTTGCACTGTAATCACCATTCTTCTGTATACTGTTATGTATATTGTTCTGAAGAACATCAGTGTTTGTTTGCCATCTAGGGAAAGAGATGTCTGCAAAATATTACCAGATCAAGTGAAGGGTAGAGACCTTTCACAGGTCTGTTTCTAGGGTAAATGTAAGCAAAGGAACTTATTATAAACAAGGTTTATCCGTGAAGCAGACAAGTTGCCTGTAAGAGCAGATAGTTCCCAAGACGCAATGTCAAGGTTTGCTGGCTTGTATAACTTATTTCTGAAGGAAGATAGTTCTGTAAGTATATAAAACAAGTAAAATGTGGTGGTTGAGAAAGCACTCCATACATAGAAGCTGACAGCATTGCTAAAAATGCCATCTGCATAACATCTGAAATGAGGCAGATGTGGATTAGTACCCGTAAGTAATGTGTACTGAAAATAACTGTTTTCTGATGCATCCTATGCATCATTTTCCTGATGGAGATCAAAGCCTTTCTTTACCAATGACTATAAAACACCTGCCTCCCCTAAAAATGTTCAGATGGCATCTGTACTAGAGAGATGAATCCTTAACATCTATTTCCCTGAATTCTAAATCCCATCACCATCATCCTCTGGTATGACCCATGCCTTCACTTCCAAATTGCTTTCTCCCTCCCTGTTCAGAATGTTGGTACTACAGGGCCACAACGATGACCAGAGGTCTGAAGCACTTTTGTGAAGAAAGGCTCAGGAAATGGGCTTTTTCAGCCTGGAGAAATCTGTGGGGTATTTAAGTGGGGCCTATAAAAGAGTGGGAGACCTTTTTATACAGTAGGCAAGGGTTACTAATTTTAAACTAAAAGGAGGGAGATTTAGGTTAGATGTTAGATGTTAAATTCTTTTCTCAGAGGGTGGTGGGGCACTGGCAGAGCTCCCCAGAGAAGCTGCCCCCATCCCTGGAGGCACTCAAGGCTGGCTTGGATGGACCCTGGGCAGTCTGAGCTGGTGGGGGGCAGCCCTGCCCACGGCAGGGAGTTGGGGTTGGGTGGGCTTGAATGTCCTTTCTAATCCAACCCATACTATGATATAAAAAACAGGCTGCTATAGGAGATTTAAACTGTGTCACAGTGTAATGTGACTGATGTAAAAGCAACAACAAGGCAGACTGTGTCGCCTCTCAAACACAAAACTTCTGGATATGTCACTTATCCCTTTGCTCCCCAGGCAACAAGACACTACTTTGCTAAACAGCAGCAATTTATGTATTGTTTCATTTTCTGAACAAGACCCTTCTTCCTTTTCTGCACGTTCACTGAAGTTCTCCAACAAGGACAAACTGGAAAGGGTATTTACTGTCACTGATGTGCTTTATTTGCTATTTTGCCCCCTCAGACTGCCAATTTACCAGAAGCCACAAGATACGAGTAATTATTCTCGATCCTTTCTCTTTGCTTCATTAATTTTCCACCAACCAATTTTATACTCTCCAGCACTAGTAGAGAGTGTCATCATATGTCAAAAGACAAGTGAGAAATATGCCAAAATAAGCTTACGTTCATAAGAGATGGTGGAAAGACCACGTGCAATCTTAAAAGCAATATTTTCTTATTGCAAACAGGGAACAGTCTATTGTCCTTTTCCTTACCACATACAACTCCACAGTCAACATATCCAACAGTCTTATTTGAGATAAAGTTTTTAAGAAAATTTTAGGAAAAGAGAATGAGATCCATGGAATTAATGATGTTGCTTCAAGCAGAGAACCTTGAAGGAAAGAAGTGCAGGAGGATGATTTACTACAGCAATCACAAAGGCTCTGAAAGGAATACATGGCACTGAAATCAGGCTCCTTAATTTTATTCTCCTGCTTATCTGCCTGACATTGCTCACAGTCATAACTGGTATTGCTACAGTCACTGAAAACTGCTTTCACCCATCAGTTCATAGGACTATAAACATAGAAGAGACATTGTATTTGTATTAATGAGAGTGATGCTCACAGAACACTCATTATGGGGCTGGTTCAAGACATCCTCAATGCCAGCTGACAACAGTTCAGAAATAGCACTGACAAAACAGATGAATTACAGGACCCCAAGACAAAAGTCATGAGAATCTGTTAATTCGACATCCTTTAGTTCTGAAAATCATCTCACCTAAAATCAGGTAGTATGGCATTGCTCCATAGGGTACTTGTTCCAAATGTCTCAGTGGTATTTCAAATGAGCAGAGAGCTTCGGAGTAGTACCTTAAACAAGTGAAACAGAATGGCACAGCTAGACATCAGTTTGGCAGGGAAATAATACAATAGAACTGAACTTGTTTTTTAATCATTTTCCTAAAATCTGAAGAATTATGTCTGTCGTACATTGATACTCCTAACCAGGATGTCATCCCAGGTTAGAAAAAAAGAGCAATAATAAATTGTCTGGCTAATTTTGTTGTTTTCTGCCCTCAATGATTATACCTGAGAGTAAAAAACAGATAGATAAAATCTGCTGACAATGGACGAAACACACATGGCTTCATCAAAATACTAAAAGCAAAGCAAAGAAAAAGAAAAAGATAATAGTAATTGCATGATTGTGTTTGCATCGAGTGGACAATAGGTAAGAAATAAGAAAGCAACAGAATATTTGAAATGATGTTTTTTTTATTTTTATCTAGTGAATGACAAAATAGTATTACATCTATCCTGGGCAATGAGTCGGTATGAAACAGATCTTTGTAATGAGTCCGCAGAGATGTAGATAGAGATGATTATGAATCCACACAGCTGCTTTTATCATCAGCTTTAATAGGAAGTAAAGTTAATACTAAAGCCAGTAATACCATCAACAGTGATATCAGTACAGTGTCAACTTTCACCAGTAGTATTATGAAATAAGTACATGAAATAAGAGCGAAAACTTTAAGAAAAAAGCAGTTGTTTTTTAATACACACATACATACATATCACATTATGCACCATATTTATGCTGTGCTCATGTATGTAATAAAACAAATTTCTGAATCCTGCTCCTTTTTTTTTCTTTTTTTTTTTAGTGGTGAAGTCCAAAATTGGAAATAAGTGTATTACTTATACACTGAGCAAAATAAGGATATCTTAACATGGACTGTGATCATTTCTTGTTTTCACAGGGCTTTCCAAATTAATTTGTCAGACTTTAGATATTAAAATAATATCCATACTATTTGAGTAAATATGTTGTATCCCACTCCAGACTGTGAAATAATTACCTCCTCCAACCATTTAATCTTTTTTTTTATCAGTAATTTGTGTCTCACTTGTGCTTAATCCTGCTCATCTCTGTGTCATGCTCTGTGCACTGCAGGGCAGCTCAATAACCCAATTGTTTCTTTTGTGATGAAAGGTTCAGCCATAATTTAGTTTCTGCTTGGCCAGCAGAGGCTTGTGGTAGCGTGACACTGCTTGCTGAGTTTATTTTTCCTCTGACCCTTACTGTCAATAGTAAACCCAAAATAGACTTGTATCCCCCGTGGCTTTGCTCTGAAGTTTGCTTGTCAGCCTAGCTGCCACTGATTATTAGGAACTGCTTCTTGTAAGTGATAAATACAAATCTCAGAGGAATGTTTTGTTTCATTGTTTACTTCTGCACTTAAACTAAAATCCTGCATTCACTCCTGCATTAAGGAAACACGGTGCAGTACTTCAGTTTTGAAAGATTCTCATGGTAATATTTATAGTATTGTGTACTCGAAGTCCTCATGCACACACTGAAAAGACACTTTGAGGGCAAATACAACTTCTGATCCAGAACTAGGAAATGAGTGAACTCTGTTCATCTTTCTTCTATGTGTCAAACAAGCGATGATTCTCAGAGGCAGCATCTTCATTTTCCTCCAGGTTTTATCCAAGCAGAAGGCAGCCAACATGTTGCTTCATACTGAACAGAGTGCCATAAAATTACCCAGTGGTAATTACCTTACCTTCATAAAAATTCTCTGTCTACAGTAAATTACCCAGCAGACCTCAGAAAAAATTAATTGTGTAAGCCTGCCCCAGAGGCTGCTTCTGAAGCTTTAAAGTGAAATCAAATCATTTGAACTTCAAACCTAATCATCATGATTCTAAAATGGCAGCTGTGATGTGATCTGTGCTAACGGACATGGGGAAATTCTGTTCAAAAGCTGACCACACTCCCAAATGACAGCACTAATAAGCTAAATATGTGTTATGTAAAGAAGTGTCTAGAGAGGCAATTTTGAGTAAATTCTATA